GATGGGCATTGAGGAGGGCACCTGTTGGGATGAGCACTGGGTGTTGTATGGAAACCAATTTGACAATAAATTTCATATTTAAAAATAAATAAATAAATTAGGTTAAAAATATATATATATATACATTGGTGGTTTCATTTACCCTACAATCCGCATACCGCCAGGCTAACTGAAAGAAGAATGGCTTTTTTTTTTTTTAAGTAGGCTCCAACTCAACGCAAGGCTTAAACTCACAACCCTTAGATCAAGACCTGGCCGAAGTCAAGAGTCAGACAGTCAGATGCTTAAGTGACTGAGCCACCCAGGCACCCCTCGAATGGCCTTCTTAAAGCTCAACTCAGAACTCTCTTACAGATACCACAGTTGCATGGATGGAGAAGCCTTGCCAGAAGCCACACACTTGTTAAATTTGACAGAGACTAGCTGTAGCACCACCCCATACTCATGGTTAGGTACCAAAACCAGCATGCCTAGGGCTAGCGCCATCCAGAAAAATGAGGCCTGAGAGGCTGGTTGCTGAGTTCACAGCAGCCCAGAGACAACTGTGGCTCCAGACTGCTCAGCCCATCCTCCTGGGCAAAGGGACACTTGAATGGGGTTAGAATGACAACTTTCCCCAGAATGGATAGGCTATTTCTTATTAGAGTGTGAGAAATGTCTCAGACAGCTGAAGCGGTCCCTGTTGATCCTACTGGAGCTGGGGCCAAAACAGTCAATATAACAAATTCCAGACAGGCACTGTTACCGAAAGGCACTCTAGTTAGTTACCTAACATGGTTGTTTGCAGCACCTTGAATTTTACATGTACAGATAGACTCTTTGGCCCTTGGGCAACATGTCTGATAGGTCCCTCCCGTTCATGCACCTCAGGCCACCTCTGTGCTCCTGACAGAGGGCAAAGGCACTAGAATCTTCTCAATAGAGGGAGAGGATCTCCCCAGACAAGTACCTACTAAACATTTATTCTTTTATCCTTAGCCTGCTGCTTCTCTTGTTCTGGTGAAGGAAACCCTTTTCTACAATGGACATGGACAGTTTACAATGGGATTCATGCTATATATGTGGTTTGCTCCCCTTTCATAGGTCTCTTCTGTTGCTGTTTGCTGCTGTGGTTTAGGTCTTCAACTTGAACACGGTCTGGTAAAGAAACCTACTGCCAAGAGCCCCTCTCTGATGGCTCAGGGAATACTGCAAAAGAGGTGGGCATGGGAGATTATAAGAGCCAGACTGGAGAGGCGCAAGGTGTGAACCAAATTAACACCATCTTGGACAAATCTGCCATGATGACTGCTCTGTGATCTGAAGCCTTCTTAACCCTCCCCACCCCCCACGCACACTTTTTCTGTTTAACCATATCCTTGGGGCTAACGTCCTTGATCTACTCTGGAGATACTACTATGATTCTCAAACATTTCTTCCCAGGTGGTCTCCCAGCCTGTACTCCTCAGCCGCTAGGGCTGTAAAAGCAGGACTTATGGGAGGTGGGGTTGCAGAGACCCACTTGTAGCTACCCAAGACACATTTCTGTCTGCTAGTCCCTTTAGTAAACAATTTCTTGTCAAGCTGAACTTGTTGGCCTTTTGCTTCAGTCTTCTGTCTCCTTTGGCCTTTGGAGATCATTGTGCATATACAGTTCTCTCCCTTTCAGAGAACTGTACAATGGTCAATTAAGCGTGCAATAGCATTATGTCTAAAAAAAATTTACACTTTAAAAAATACTTTCTTGCTAAAAAATGCTAACCATCACCATTACAGCTCAGGGAGCTGTAATCTTTTTGCTGGTGGAGTGTTTTGCCTCAATGTTTATGGCTGCTGACTGATCAGTGTGCTAAAGGCTGGGGTGGCTGTGACAATTTCTTGAAATAAGACAACAATGAAGTATACCACATCAAATGACTCTTCCTTTCACAAAGAGTTTTGCTGTAGCATGCAATGCTGTTTGATAGCATTTTACCCACAGCAGAACTTCTTACAAAAATTGGAGTCAGTCTGGGGCACCTGGCTGGCCCAGTTGGTAGAGCATGCGACTCTTGATCGCAGGATTGTAGGTTCGAGCCCCATGTTGGGTATAGAGATTACATAAAAATAAAATCTTAAAAAAAAAAAAAAAAGAGACACACACACACACACACAAATTGGAGTCATTCCCCTCAAACCTTGTTTTTAAGCTGTGTTTTGTTTTTTAAATTTTAACATTTATTTTTGAAGGGGAGAGAGAGAGACAGACAGACAGACAGTACATGAGCGGGGGAGGGACAGAGAGAGAGGGAGATACAGAATCCAAAGCAGGCTCCAAGCTGTCCGCATGGAGCCTGACACAGGACTCGAACTCACGAGCTGTGAGATCATGACCTGAGCCAAAGTGGGACACACAACCGACTGAGCTACCCAGGCGCCCCTGTTTTTGTTTGTTTAGTAATCTCTACACCTAATGTGGGGCTAAACCCACAATGCTCAGATCAAAAGTCACACACTCTTCCAAATGAGCCAGCCAGGTGCCCCCTTGCTGCTGCTTGTATCAGCTCAGTTTGTGTGATACTCTTAAATCCTTTGTTGTTATTTCAACAATCTTCACAGCACATTCACAGAAGTAGATTCTATCTCAAGAAACCACTTTCTTTGCTCATTCAGAAGAAGCAAATTCTCATCAGCAAAGTTTTACCATGAGATTGCAACAATTCAGCCCCATCTTCAGGTTCCACTTCTAATTCTAGTTCTCTTGCTCTATCACATCCAGAGTTACTTCTCCCACTGAAGTCTTAAACCCCTCAAAGCCATTCTTGAGGGTTGGAATCAACTTCTTCCAAACTCCTGTTAAAGTTGGTATTTTGACCTCTTCCCATGAATCATAAATGTTCTTAATGGCATTTAGAATGGTAAATCCTTTCCAGAAAGTTTCAACCTATACTCTGCCCAGATCCATCAGAGGAATCATGACCTATGGTAGCTATAACCTTACAAAATAAATATATTTCTTAAATAGTAAGACTTAAAAGTCAAAATGACTCCTTGATCCATGGGCTACAGGATGAATGTTGTATTAGCAGGTATAAAAGCATTAATCTTGTTGTACATTTCCATCAGATCTCTTGGGTGACTAGTCAATGAATAGTCAATGAATAATATTTTAAAAGGAGTCTTTATTTTCTGAGCAGTAGGTCTCAACAGTGAACTTAAAATATTCAGTAAACCATGTTGTAAACAGATATGCTCTCATCTAGGCTTTGTTTTTCCATTTATAGATTACAAGCAGAGTAGATTTAGCCTAATTCTTAAGGGCCCTAGGATTTTCAGAATGGTCAATGAACATTGGCTTCAACATAAAGGCCCCAGCCACATTAGTCCCTAATGAGAGTCAACCTGTCCTTTGAAACTTTGAAGTCAGGCATTGACTTCTTCTCTCTAGCTATGAAACTCCTAGACGGCATCTTCTCCCAACGTAGGGCTGTTTCATCTACACTGAAAATCTATTGTTTATTTTTTTTTAATTTTTTTTCATGTTTATTTATTTTTGACAGAGAGAGAGAGAGAGACAGAGCATGAGTGGGGGAGGGGCAGAGAGAGAGGGAGACACAGAATCCGAAGCAGGCTCCAGGCTCTGGGCTGTCAGCACAGAGCCCTACACGGGGCTCAGACTCACAAACCGTGAGATCATGACCTGAGCCGAAGTCAGACGCTCAACTGACTGAGCCACCTAGGTGCCCCTGAAAATCTATTGTTTAGTGTAGCCACCTTCATTAGTTACCTTAGCAAGATCTTCTGGATAATTTGCTACAGCTTCTACAACCACACTTGATACTTCACTTTACACTTTTATGTTATAAAGATGGCTTCTTTAACTTCTTGAACCAACAACCTCTGCTAGTTTCAAACTTTTCTTCTGCAGCCCCCTCACCTTTTCTCTGACTTCACAGAATTGAAGAGTTAGGGCTTTGCTCTGTATTAGGCTTTGGCTTAAGGGAATGCTGTATGGCTACTTTGATCTTCTATCCAGACCACTAAAACTTTCCCCATATCAGCACTAAGGCAATCAGTGTGTTCACTGAAGCAGCAGGTTTTTTTTTTTTTTCACGGTTACTTCTGAGAGAGACAGAGTATGAACACAAGAAGGGGAGGTGAAAAGGGGGAGTCAGAATCTGAAGCAGCCTCCAGGTTCTGAGCTGTCAGCACAGAGCCTGATGCGGGGATAGAACTCACAAGCTGTGAGATCATGACCTGAGCTGAAGTTGGACACTCAACCAACTGAGCCACCCAGGCACCCCAGCACTTTTTTTAAAAGTTTACTTATTTTGAGAAGAAAGAGAGTGCAGAGGAGGGGCAGAGAGAGAGACAGAGAGAGAGAGAGAGAGAGAGAGAGAGAGAGAGAGAGAGAGAGAGAGAAAGAAGAAGAAGAGTAGTAGTAGGAGGAGGAGGAGGAGGAGAGAAAATCCCAAGCAGGCTCCACCCTGTCAGTGCAAAGCCCAACACAGAGCTCAGTCCCAAGAACCTTTGAGATTATTACCTGAACCGGGATCAAGACTTGGGACGCTTAACCAACTGAGGCATCAAGGCACCCCTGGAGCAGCACTTTTAATTTTCTTCAAGAACTTTCCTTTGCATTCATAATTTGACTAACTAGTGCAAGAGGTCTAGCTTTCAGCCTATCTCAGCTACCGCATGCCTTCCTCACTCAGCTTCATCATTTCTAGCTTTTAATTTAAAGTGACAGATGTGCAACTCTTCCTTTCATATGAACACTTGGAGACCACTGTAGGGTTATTAAGTGGCCTAATTTCAATGGTGTTGTGTCTCAGAGAATAGGGAAGTCTGAGGAGAGGGCAAGAGATGGGGTAACAGCCTATTTGGTGGAACAGTCAGACCAGACCACACACAACATTTATCTATTTAGTTCACTGTCTTATATGGGCACCGTTCATGATGCACCAAAACAATTATAATAGTAACATCAAACACCACTGATTGTACATCAAGATAACAAAAATAATAATGAAAAAGTTTGAACTATTGTGAGAATTACCAAAATGTGACACACAGACACAAAACGAGCAAATGCTGTTGGAAAAAATGGCACCGATGGACTTGCTCAGGGTCACTACAAACCTTAAATTTGTAAACAACACAGTATCAGCAGAACATGCCATCATAAAATGAGGTATGCTTGTATAGGTTTTTGAAAACTCTTGCTATAGTTTTCCTAAACAACCTAAATACTGTTGAATGATTTGTTAAAGGTTCCTTACATAAAATATCTGTAAGTATTAAATAAAAAATCCATCAAGTATTAGATTGAAAGGAATATCAAATAATGATAAACGGACTGGAACAGGAGAAACCAAATACTTTTATCGCTATCATTATTTTTTTCTTAGTTTATTTATTTATTTTGGGAGAGAGAGAAAGCTCAAGGGGAAAGGGGCAAAGAGAGAGAGAGAGGGAGACACAGAATCCTAAGCAGGTTCCACACCACCAGTGCAGAGCCTGATGCGGGGCTGGAACTCACAAACTGAGAGCATGACCTGAGCCGAAGTCAGACGCTTACCTAAGCCACCCAGGCATCCCACTATAATTCTTTATATTAAGGAATGTGTTTAAAGTTTAATAAAGAAAAATTATTCATAGCTTACAGTATATGTACGATCCTGTGATAAATTAAGCTACCTTAGGGAAATTAAAGGTTATTCTATTAAGACACAAACTTATTGGGCTTTGATTATAAAAAAATTTAACGGCAAACTTACCCAGACTTTTGTCATGGTGGATGTTTTATCCACCAAAAGTCAGGCTGGTCCTCCTCCCCCACCCTCCACCTTCAAATTTAAGCCTTTTAATATTTTGTACGTTATAAATCAACTGAAGCCATAGCTCTTCCATCCACTCGATCTCCTCTCCCACTCTATGCTACTGAGCAACTACCCCTCCCCCCACACCAGCAGAAGACTAAGGGAGCAATCTCTGGAGAAGGTGAAACAGAGTATGCCTGGACTGTAGGATAGAGGGTATTAGTTCCATAGTGAAAACGGGGCAGTTGAGTAACATGCTCCCTTTACTCCCAAAATATTGGCAGCCAGGTCTTTATTCTTTAGGTACAAGAATATGGCCAGTAAAAAAGGAAAATACCTAAATATACTAATATCCAGGGTTCCCCGAGCAAATGCGCCACCCAGATCACCTTACAGTGAAGCTCCAAGTCATAAACCCTATCCACACACTTAGAGCTTTCATTTAGCTTTTTAGTTCTCCATTCTTAATTAAGAGCAGATAACCAAGAATTACCAGACACTCCAGGAAAAAAAGACCAAAAATCAGAAAAGAGAGCCCTAGGGGTGCCTGGGTGGCTCAGGCAGTTGGGTGTCTGACTGTGGCTTAATTAGGTCATGATCTCGGTTTGTGGGTTCAAGCCCTGTGTTGGGCTCTGTGCTGACAGCTGGGAACCTAGAGCCTGCTTCAGATTCTGTGTTTCCCTCTCTCTCTGCCACTCCCCAACTTTTGAGTGTTTTCTTTCTCTTTCTCAAAAGTAAACAAACAGAAAGAAAGAAAGGAAGAAAGAAAGAAAGAAAGAAAGAAAGAGCGAGCAGAACACCTTAGAGGGAAAAGACTATGCAAAGAAAACAAAAACACTACCCAGTATTTACTAAAAGGGATAAGACAGGGCATCCATGAAATAAGAACAGGATTCTAAGAAGTGCAAATTCAACAGAAGGGCTGCAATATAAAGATGAGGAATATTCAAAAAGTGAAACAAAATATTGAGAGATGGAAGACAGAAGAGAAACTTAAAAGTTAGAGAACTAGTCCGGAAGGTCCAGCATCCAAAAGAGAGTTCCAGAAAAAATTATCCAAAAATAATTCAGAACTTAAGACCATTCATTTCCATGTTGCAAGTTACCCACTGAGTGCCCAGTACCATTGGTGAAAGGTAATTTGATACACCACTGTGAATTTCACAACACAAAAAAAGGGCCACAAAAGCTTCCACATCCAAAGCGTCAAGAATCACAATGGCTCCCAGCTTCTCAAAAGCAACACTGGAAGCAAGAAGAGAATCTGGTAAAGTTGAAAACACACATCC